TCGATCGATTTTGATGACATTTTTTGTGTGTGTTTGAATGGGTCCCTAGATGGTTTAGATTGAAATTTGAACCCGGTATGTGACGCGTTGTTGTGATCCAGAAATCACCCATGCGAACCCGGTGTGGATAGCTAGAATCGTTCATTTTTTTTAACTGCCCTAACCTGTCATATTCATTTTATAATTTTCTTCCTAGTAATATCCCCGTCCTATAAATCATATGTCCATTGCATATTATGTTCATACTTATCCTATTTTGTGTGTATGTCTTTGTCACAGGTTAATAAATATTTAGCAAGCTAGTACTTGCATAGAATTATTAGCAGTTCTAATAATAATTCTATGTGTACATAAGTTTTTGTTACATTTTGTTCAAACTCTATGTATTTAATTTTATATCCACCTATAACAATCATTGTGTTATTATGTACTGCGTACTAGAGGCAACACTGCACTAAGTTACGCTTATGGAGTGTAGAGAGAAGGAGGACCATCTCTATATATGAAAAGTGTCCTTAAAAACATCCAATAAGGGTGGCGCTGCAGTAGCATAGGATAAATTTTAAAAAAGCGCCAAAAGTAATTAGAATAAGATGGAGAAATAAACAAGGACCAACCGATCCGCTTGGTTTTGTGCTACGCAAATAGTTGAGATTTCGTATACTGGTATTTTACTAGCTACTCTAGTCATGAAATTTTTTAAATATTTGAATTCAGCTGACTTCACTCCGTTCACAACAGCTATCTTCATATCGTAGTTTTTCAGACGCCAGCGCTATTGTGGTAGGTTTTGGAACCTCTATTTTAAGTAAATAGTAGGACACTTTTTCAACTTTCGCCCCTTATAAGATGGTTCTCCTTGTACTCTACACTCCATAGTTACGCTGTCCCATTCAACTACGGCGATATTGCTGCACTTTCCTTAGTCGCTCGCTAGGCGCTAGTGAGTTGACACAAGCTGTATAGATTATGTAAAAAAAAATTCTTGATAAAATATGCCATGTTGTGGTTTAGATATTGCACAAATTACTTAAGAAATGTGAACAAATACTAAACTTTTCATCGGTGAGGAAGACACTTAATTAATAAAAAAAGTATTATAGATAATTCAAACAAATTATTCCTAAGACGCCATCTCGGGTCATTAAATAAAGATTATGAAATTAATTTGTTCAGATGCGACGTATCTGTAGGTACTTAAATGTGAGAAAAATTGTGCATAATATAATATGTTTATTTTTTGTAGATACAAATAGAAGTATTCATAACTAGGCTAAGTTTCTGATATTTGAATTTGCTGATTATTCTTTTATTTATTTTTAGGTTTCCACGTCCAAGCCATGAAAACAGGGAAAATGGAATAAATTCGTCCATTTTTAACTCTCGCGTATCCAGCATTTATGACCGACTCTTATTCTAATCTAAATAAATATATTTGTAAATTATATAATATATCAATAAGTTTTGTTACACATACATCACATCATACAAGTTTGTTTTTTATATTTTACATAGTTACTTTTTAAAATGAGCCGTGGTAGCTCAGTTAGTTAGCGCTGTAAATTTCACAGTACGCGAGCAACTCAGGTTCGATCCCCGCCGGCACCAATGACATTCTTAATTGCAATTTTAAGTGCTGATTTACCACGTGCTGGGCGGTGAAGGAAAACATCGTGAGGAAACCGGCATGTCTGAGAAATAAGAAAAAGAAATATTTCGAAGACATGTGAAATTCGCCAACACGCATTGGGGCAGCGCGGCGGACACTTCCTGGCTCTAAAACCCTCCCAGAAAGGAGGGGAGACACATGCCTAGCTGTGAATATATAGGCTGTAACTTTAACTTTAACAAATTTTTTATGTTTTAAAATATTCAAATAAAATATCATTGAAATGTATATGTGATATAATATTATGTAATATTATATTAAATTATATTAAATTAGCACATATTATATGCAAAATAAATGACAAATTTTAAAAGTTGTACCTGACATAATTTACATAATTTTAATAATACAATCTATTATTACACGATAATTTAAATGCATACGGAAGTTAATTATGTACCTATGACTAATTTAATTATTCTTTAATGATCACACGCGGTGGAAGTGAAACCTTCAGAAAACTAAACTTTGAGAGAGAGAGACGAATGCAGAATATCAGGAGTAGGATAATTGTAGAGTAATAAATACATTTGTAATAAACACTGTATACTGCATTCTATTATTATTACTCTAACATTATTCTAACTCAATCTCTCGCAGGCTAAACCTTATAGGTATGGTCATAGACTTGGAATATACTGGCGTATAGAAGACCTAACAGCCCGAAAACGTGTGACAAATTTTGATTTGTTATTGTGTACATTTACTTACAAGGAACATAGAAAAATGATTGTTAAGAAAGCGGTAAAAAGATTAAAAAAATAGTTTAGTGCACAAAACTGTATAACTTCAAAAATTAATTGCATTTTTAACAAGATATTCTAAAATAATTAAAAAATATTCTTATAACATGTTCCCGAGAATAAACATCATCTACCTGCATTTGTTGGATTTTAATTCAAAATGTACAAAATCCCAATAACCTCTGATGAGGTAAGTCCACCGAATAATCTTAAACAATTTTTCTCAAGAATCAGATTGGAAAGTTGTATTTTCAAACTATGACCCTTAGAAAAATATATATTTACTGCCATGGACACTTTCCTGTTTAATAATTTAAGTAAGGAAACTTGTAGGATCAGTTAAACTAGATTGTTCTGTTTAATGGCCATTAAGTAACTGTACCATGTTCATCAGTGGACTTGTGAAGGGTTGTAATGATGATGAAGTAACTGTAATTAATTTGTTTAAAGTAATCACCTTGAAATATTTTTCTGGTGAAATAAAAAACGACGACACGGAGGACATAATACATATCTTTTTCTATTTTGCTATATTGCTATAGGGGTTTTCTTCTCACTTGCACACTATGTCCGTCTATTTCTATCCTAAGTCTATGGATATGGTATATGTTTGTCTCTTATAAGTGTCGCTTTTTCATTTCCTTGAGTTTCAAATGAACGATTCTAAAGATGGTTTCGCTGCCATAAATTGTATTTTTTTTATAGGATAGGGTGACAAACGAGCACACAGTCCACCTGATGGTAAGTGGTAGCTGTGGCCCATAGACATCTACATCTATCCTCGTTTGCGAATCAAAATGCAGATGCGTTGTCACCCGTGAGGATTAAGGTGGAATGCCTCTTTTCCAGTAAAAAGGGCCTCCGGCCACCTGCACTCACCGAGCGAAACGCAGAGGTAAACCTCTACTTCACGCTGGTATTCTGTGAGGTCGTGGTACCACCCCGGTTTGAGCCGGCCCATCCGTGCGACAGCAAAGCTGTCGCGTGGCTCTACCACTGTCAATTGTTATAAAATAAATCAATATTTACATTTTACCAACTATCTGACTACAACCAAATATCTTACTTAAGTATTTAGTATTCGGTCAAATAGTATATAGTACCTAGATATTCGGTATTCGACGTAATAGGATATAGAATAAGCCGAATACCAAATAATAGCAGAATATTCGTTGCAAGTCTAGTTTAGTTATTAGTTCATTATTGTATAAAATATATATTGTATAAAAATGATCTAAGTATCAGAATAATTTGTTACTTAATTTTGTATGGAATAATATGGTTACGATTTTTTTTTTAATAGGATAGGGTGATAAACGAGCACACAGTCCACCTGATGGTAAGTGGCCCATAGACATCTACATCTATCCTTGTTTGCAAATCAAAATGCAGATGCGTTTTCTCCCGTGAGGGCTAAGATGGAATGCCTCTTTTCCAGTAAAAAGGGTGTCCAGTTCTCTACACTCACCATACGAAACAGCAGTGTTAAGCTGCTATTTTACGGTGGTATTCTGTGAGAGTGTGGTCCTACCCTGGTTGAGCCGACCCATTCATGCTACAACTATACTACTAATACAGCTGCAGCATGGCTCTACCACGTATAAAATTAATATGAAAAGATGGCTATTTCTTAATTCAATTCAATTCAAAGTAAAAGCATACAAAACTTTCATAATTATTACTTGTAACCTATGTTAAAAACAAATTCTATTTTAAAATACATAACAGTGTTCTAACCAATAAAAGGTCAAAGCGGCCACAAACATAATTGAGAATAAACAGTTTAATATCACCTTAATCACAGAATAAATAATAGCCTTAATTAAAAGGGCGTTAATCGGCTTTTCTTTTCTTAAAATTCTTAATGGGAAAAGAAAATCATACGTGTGTAGCGAATATGTTTTTTATATTAAATTCTGACTTAAACCTTATGCTTTTCATTATATTAGTAACATGCCGGGGCAAATCGGGAAATGTATAGTCCCTTATCATGATGTATGTGATGAGCTCCACGCTAAAATATTTTTTTACATCTGCCAACACTTTAAATGAAAACATCATTGTTGCCATATTGAATAATAATTTTCATGTTTGAGAGCTGTAATACTATTATCTTACTCGTTTTACCACATGTCGAAAGGCATATTTATTGCTCTTTTACAAGCTAAAAGCTCAAGTGGAGCGATCTATGGGCTTCTTGCAGTTTACCAACACGACAATGGCCGAATTGTCCGTATAAGATATTTTTTATTGGCTCATGCAGCCAAACCTGCCATGTCTTTGGTTTTAAAAATGGCGTATACAAGCTTTTTGTTTGCCGGTTTACGCTGTTGAATGATTAGTTTCCGAGACCCCGTGCTTACTCAAGCGACACGTAAACGTCGTGAATATGAAAATAAAGTACATGTGTAGGTACATTAATCAACACCATGAACTCAGTGAACAAAATTTTGTAGCGTTATGGTGAATTAGAATGGTGCCTGTGGTTTGTCAAGCTCGCACGTCGACAGGTTACCCGTTCGTAACGTAAATATCACCCAGCAGGCGTTTTATATTTTAGATATGACAGCGTCGCAAAAAAGTAGATAATGGAGAGTTCTGAAGATGATGCGGGCACCGCAACAAGCACTTCCCGCCGCCCTTCGGCGCGGGAAAAGGACTTCGAGCGACCTGAAAACGTCTCTGCAACTGGAAGTGTACAGCAAGAATCATCTGAAACGCCAGTGTGTTGTGAAACCCCCGCGATGTCGGAGGATAATTTCGATGGCGACAGCGTTTCTTCGCCGTCGACGCAAGACGTCAACACAAGCACTGAAGCGATCTTAGATATGATCGACGAGATTGTTGATGGTCCTGGAGCACCAAAGCGATTGCCACTTACCTTGGAAAACGTAGAGAACGTCTCGAAACTTGACACCACAGAATGCTTAGGCGATGTAACACAAACGTCAAATAGTGAACCTGAGGGCAATCTGTTACAGGAGTCAGTTTTGGAAACTAAAAAGGCTAAAATTGATGATGAAAAACTAAGTTCTGATAATGTCCAATTAGACAGTGCATCTGTACATGATGTATCAACAAAAACAATTGACTTGCCAGAAGTGGACAGTCATATGCATTTAAGTAAGAAAATATCTGAATCAACAAGTACTCAAGAATCTGTAGAATTGAGTTCAGTGGTGGCACATAGCAGACCACTTCCTAGTATTCCTTCCAGCAGTGTAGTGCAAACAGACCAAAGTGTATCTGATAGAGATGAAACTCAAACTTGTGAAAGGACAGTGAAATGTGTGTCATCAAGTGATAACCAAGACAATGTTGTAGGCAGTGCTGAATGTACTTCAAGTGACAATAGTTTAAGTCAAAATAGAGCTGTAGTTTTGGAACATGTAACTCAATCACCATTGCGACGACGGCTTGTAAGACCGGTGCCAAGTGACCGCCGTCCCGACTCCACAGTGTCTTCTACAGTTGATTTGCAAAGTATTAATGTTGTATCTTGTGAACAATCTAGTAGTGAGTGCATAGTCAAGGATGTGTCCAGTTCGTCAGATGCAGTACCTGTATATGGTAATGTTAAGCCAGATGAGATTAGAAATGTAAGTGAAGTAAGTATCTGCAAAGCAGAAACATCGGTGAGTCCCCTTAAAAGAATTAAGCTTAATAGACAGAAAGCTAACCCTCAAGTAAGCTGTAGAGACATAGCGGTTGATCAACAATCATCTGTTACAAGTAATCAATGCCAATCAACTTCGGAGACTGTTTCAAATGAATCTTGTTCCGAGTCTACAAATATAATAAGCACATCAAAGTCAAATATTACTGATTGTAATGAGGTTTTAAACGTAAAAAGTAAAATAAGTCAAAAAAGTATTCTAATAGACCCTTGTATTTCATCTGAAGAGCCATTCAATGAGTGTGAAAAATCACAAAATGAGGCAGCAGTACAGCCAACAAATCTTTGCACAAGTAATGCAGTCCTGTCTCAAGAAAGTTTGAAAAATAATGATCTGAAAAAAGTGCCACCGATAAAACTAAATATTTCTACGACATGTGGGAAGGATTCAGTTTCAGATTTAAGTGTAAAACTTTTGGAACATAAAAGTGAAAATAGCTGCAGTAACACTATCTGTGAAGAGTCTGACTCAACAAAACAAGTACCAAAATTAACTATCAAACTGAGTAATAAACAAACTGAGGAACTAAAACCTGCTGTTCCAAAATTGACTATAAAACCAATTAGAGTGCCTTTAGAAGAGGAAATCGTTAAATCTGATGTTCAAGAGGAAATTCCGTGTGTAAGAAAAGTACATATTAAACCTATTAAAAAACCAGATAAAATAAAGGAAATTCATCGTAAATCTAGCAGCAGTGAAATATCTGAATCAGAATGTTCTGAAAATGATGATAGTACTAGTACATCAGATCAAGCCTCAACATCAGATCAAGGACCAATTGATGTTGTGCCAAAAGTAACTATAAAACTTGGTAAAGTTGGTACTGAATCTGAAGGCCAATTCTATACAGAAAGAAATATTCCAAAACTTACAATAAAAGGTATTCAGCAGAATGACACTGAAGAACAAGACCATTCATCGAATTTAAAACTTTTCATTAGTCAACCTGAAGATAAGTCGACAGAAAAAATACCAAAATTAACAATTAAAACATTAGCTAAGACTGAGAGTCAACCATTAAGTCCAAAGCTTACCATAAAGCCCATAAAACAACCAGAATCTGAAAGTTACGAACATATCCCAGTTGTAAGAAAGATCAATATAAAGCCAATTATTAAACCTGCAGAAAGCAATGAAATAATGGAAAATTTGGATGATAAAGTTCCTGTAGTTCCAAAATTGAACATTAAGCCTATAGTTAAACCAAAAGAAAATGAGATAGATTCTAACAAAGAAGATTTTTGTCATCAGTCTTCAGAAAATTCAAGTGATGACAACACTGACCATATACCTGTGGTTTTAAAATTAAATATAAAACCTATAGTAAGACCAAATGAAGGTGAGGAGTCGAAATCTAGCATATCTAATGATGACAGTATTCCTATTGTAACAAAACTTAATAGAAAACCAATACTGAAGCCAGAAGAAAATACTTCCACTTTATCACCTAAAAAAGAAAGCTTAAGAAGTGCTGATCATAGGAATTCTATAATACCTGTTGTTACTAAAGTAAATATTAAGCCTGTTTTAAAACCTGAAGAAACACACAAAGTTATGGATGAAGCAGAAGATTTGAGAGTAAAAAATCCTCCACTGCTTATGAAAATCAATATAAAAACTGTGGATACTGTTAGTAGTGAAAAAGTTCTAATTAATTCAGACAAATGTGGTGACAACGGAGAACATATAAACAACGCAGTGGATGATGTATCTATAACGTCAAAAATAAATATTAAGCCCCAATCAAAAATAGTTAGTAAAGATGTATCTTCTAATAAATCTTCTGATGATAACGAACAAAATACTGCATTGGTTGAAGATATATCAAGTAGTATAATTATTAAGGATACAGAAGGTCAATCTAATAGCTTACATAGTGTGCTAAAACAAAACTGTGTTGGTGTGAATGAAAAAGTCAGTCATTTGCAGAATATTGAAACACATGCAGAAGAAACAATATTGTTGGATGTGAAGAAAACTACTCCTACGTCTAAAGAAAGTACAATTCAACATCACATATCACACAAATCTGACAGTGTTTCTGATGTAAATAAATTAGATTGTTCTCAATCAAATAAATCAAACTTAGTACAATTATGTGAATCTACTATAGACTTGGAAGACAATAATGAAAACAGTTTAAAACCTGCTAATTCATCATTGGAATGTGTAGTGCCTAATATAAGCAACAAACAAAGTTCTCCATCAACACAAAATTGCACTTTATTAAAGAAACTTCTAGAGACTAAGAATGAAAGCTTAGGTGGAAAAATGGATGAAAATCAAACTGTAATAAGTAATTGTTCATCTCCAACCTTAAGGTCAAAAACCCTAGTCTCTGATCACAAGGAAGAAGCAGCCATAAATAGTAGTACTAATGTAACAAATTCTGAAGCTTGCCACAAAGTTGATACTGCTAATAATGATCCCATTATTTCGAGCGATGGAATTATTACCAGTTCAATTAGAAATCATTTAATTGAGGGAATTCCAAAAGAAATTAATGAAAATTTAACAAGACCTTTAGAAATTAATGTATCAGAAAAAATAGCAAATCAAAGTGTAACAGAGCAGGACTCACCTCGAATAATATTAAAAATTAATAAGACTGATCATGGCCCTTCAGCCAAAATTATGACAGAAGACATAAAAAGACCAGAACAAAAAATTTATACAGCTGAAAATACTCAAGATGAAATAAATGATAGTGAAAATATTAAAAAGAATACATTAAACAGCAGGAGGAAAACACTTGGAAATATTAATCCAACTTTACAATTAGGCAAAAGATTGAGGAGTTCCAGGGTAGTAGAAAATGCAGATAAGTCTCCCATATCAAAGAAGAATATTTTAAAAAGGCCAGCAACTACAGATACAAGTCCAACTCAGAATAAAGAACCAGAGCTATCTGTTCTTGAAACAAAAAGGTTGAAGTTGGGACAACTCTTATCCAACAAATCATTATCTGTAACACCAGTGGTAACCAAAACTGAACAGTTATCACCAAAGAAGCCATCTGTAGAGATTAAACAAGAGGGAATAAATGTTAATCACAATGTATTAAATAGTGAAAACTGTTCCAAAAATGGCAACTCCAAATTACATAACATTTTATCAAATTTGCATGCTAATCAACAAATACAAGTAAAACCCTTCAATGATATTTGTCATTCTGATAAGAAACAAAGTATAACCCCAGAACCTGAATCTAGTGCTTCAACAGGTAGCTGTGACCGAGTTGAATTGATGCCAATAGGAAAAAATCAACCTGAGGTGCAAGAATTGATTTTCCATGGCAACTCTGAGTCACATGATTTCAACATGGCACCTGAAGAAGTATCTCAAGATCCATTGGAAGTAGATAGTCCAAAACCCCCTTCAGGTATTCATATTGAAAATTTTAACATTCCTAAGCCTACAACACCACTCATGGTATCTACACCCCAGCCAAGGAAGCGTGGTAGGCCACGAAAAATTCCACTGTCAGAAGGTGCCAAAGTTGTCTTGCCTACACCTGCGCTTGAAGAGAGACCTCAAAGATCTTTACGCTTATCAAGGTGAATATTCATTTTCTTTAATAATTAATACCAAATTTACAAATCTTTACACCTTTATATTTTTAAGTATGTTTATTAATTTATTGGTAAAAATATCATTACAGGGATAGACCTATGATATTGACAAAACCAAGAGGTAGAGGACGAGGACGCGGCTCCCGACGTCTTGATAACTCTTCTAATGCATCCTCATCTGAGACAGTGATGGAAGCAGCAAACAAATTCTTTGAAGACCATAAATCTGGAGAAGCTATTGATCCTACTAGTTCGAGAATAAAACTTCCGCGGATGACTGAAGCTTTGGATAAGATGCCTTGTTCAACACCACTCAGCAGTAGGAGACGGAATTCATCAATAGGAGATTTGAAACTTTTCAGTGATGTTTCAGAATTGAAAGTTGTACTTGATGGTACACTGCCTAACTTGGATGATTCATTCATGAAATCACCGGAAAGTGGAGAGCGCCGGGGGCGAGGTTCACGAGGGGGGCGAGGGAGCAGAGGCGGTAGAGGCCGTGGAGTTAGCCGTGGCCCACGAGGTCGGGGCAGAGGACGTGGCGGTGGTCGCGGTGCTAAGTACATGAAGGTAAGTTTTTGAATAATTAGTGAAACAATCAAAGGCTAAGATATCTTAGCTCTTAGACTAAAATTTAGTAACTTTGGACTACTCCATTAAATCAATTTTGTAAGTAAATTGTTTATTTTTTTTATTTTCAGGAAACCATGGGCATTTATGGTCGTGTCTGTGGTCCTGCTACAACAACTGTACAATTGTTTGAAGAGGAAACTTGCATGATGGATGACAATGCCACTCCTGCAAAGTATGTTTTTATTTTAACTATTTTATTTAATTTATTTTTTACTTCTTAACAAAATTTATGTCGTAGAGCCATGCTGCAGCTTTATTATGGTTGTAGCACAAATGGGTCGGCTCGAACAGGGTAGGACCACACTCTCACAGAATACCAGCGTAAAATAGCAGCTCAATGCTACTGTGTTTCGTATGGTGAGTGTAGAGAACCAGGGACCCTTTTTATAGGAAACAAAGCATTCCATCTTAGACCTCAGGGGTGGCAACGCATTTACATTTTTATTCTTAATTGAGGATAGATCTAGATGTCTATGGGCCACAGTATCCACTTACCATTAGGTAGATCGTGAGCTAGTTTATCACCCTTATTCTTTAATAATAAAAAATAAATATAATAAGAATGCTGCACGACAATCATTTTCTTGCTAAATCGATTCCTCTTAATTCATATTTCAGTCATAAATTTTTGTATTCTTTGGAACTAAGCTTTTTAATTAATTTGCATCAGAAATTATTCCTACAACCATTAAATCACTTTAAATTGAAATACACTCTGAAAGAATGGCTTTTAAATCAATCGTACACTGAAACTGAATGTCTTCTTGATATTCTGAAAGAAACTTTCTATTGTATTCTTCATTTATTCATACTCACTCTCGCAAACACATTTCACACACACACACACACACACACACACGCACACGCACACACGCACACACACAGACGCACACGCACACCCGCAGGCACACCCGCACGCACACCCGCAGGCACACCCGAACGCACTCATAAATTTTAGTACTCACATATATATTTATAAATTTTTATCCTTAAAACTCAGTGATTATCAGTAACTAAGATTGAGGCCTGGTGACCTGTAACTCAGGTTTTAATTATCTACACCAGCAATCCAAAACCATTTTTGTTATAATAGTATTGAGTTTTAAGAAAGTTTTGTGGTTTTATGGTGAGAAATAAATTTTCAATTTTATAATCTGGTTAGCATGATACTTACTGTCAATTAAAATAATTTAAGAACTAATTTATAATTGATTTGTTTTCAGGCCATCGCATTTACTTGATGAGGATTCACAAAGTTCTGTAAAAAGTTCAACTAATGAGAGTAGTAAAACGAAAAAATCCAAATTTGCAGATTTATTTGATAGGTAAAAATAATTTTCTTTATGGAATCACAAATATTTAAAGTGGATAGAATTTGTATGATTTTTTAAAAGAAAACTAGTAATGCTACAACAATAATGCTAATACTCAGAAGGGTTAACAACATGAGTCAAATAGTAGAATCAAACCTAAGACTTTATAGCTTTTCAATCCATATCTTTAACCACTGTCACTACTACTTACTAAGTGACTAATGTAACTTTTATTTTAATTACAAAATATTGTTTTTGCAGCAATAAAGTGTGGACGGCTGCTGATGTTAAAGAATACATGTGGCCACCTCCTGAGAAACCTTCAGCTGAACATCAGGTACATGTTACAATGGACATCTATTTACACTTCCATTATCTTCGTTAAGATCCTTAAATATGTTGTATTTATGACCAAACAAATAGTGATATGTTTAATGCATGCTGAAATTACAAATTTTGTTTAATTCTAATTTCCTAAACAGCCGAGCATGTGTTAAATCAGCACTTGAAATTGCAAATGCTATTAATAATTTCATTAGTACAGGTGGGGATTGAACTTGGGTTACTCGTGTACTGTAAAATTTATACCGAGCACATAGCTACTGAGCTGGCATGACTCTTTAAAAATAAGAAGTAATAAAATAAAACTAAAAAATTGTTACATTCATATTAAACTAAAATTAATTTGATGCCGCGTGGTACAAGTCTTTGCTTAGCCTTGTTGATACAACATAAATTTGTAGTGTATGTTACTTTATTTTATTAAAAAATAATTAGCTCTAAAATAATGGCAATACTTCTCTAACAATCATGACTTATATTCACAAAATAAACCTAAGTTGGTACAAAGGGTTTAAACCTTGTTTAAAATTGTAAACAAATAATACCTGTATATTGCAATTGTACCATGACGCTATTAATATGTGTAGGGGGAGTAAGACGCAAAATCAATCACAAAATAGCAAAATGCATAAGCTCGAACGTAACAAACGATATTTGCCCGCTGTCTCACATGCTTTCCCTCCCTGGCTATTAAATCATTTACTGCGCAGTCATTTTGGCAAACATAGCAGGTGCATTTAAATTGGGCGAGAATAATAACTGCAAAGTAGTATAACATTTTAACCTAGCTATAAATAAAATTTGTATTCTGTGCAAATTACTGATGACAACTTCATTGATCGCACTACATCACTCTTTTTTATAAAAATAGTAAAATATCTGACATTACCCTACTTCTTCTTCTTCTTTACTTTTTGGCTTCTCTTAAAAGAATTCTGCCAATATCAAGTCAGTCATGGGAGTGACAACAAGGTAAATAAATTTTTTTTTTTGTGATTGGCTTCTAATCTACAACAAAAGACAACACAAACATTTATAATTCTACCACCAACAATGATTAGTTTTATGTTACAACTTAATACTATTAGTATAAATAAAATCACATAAAATATGAACAAATGAGGAGAACACGAGAGACAGCAGACAGGTAGAATTAGTAGGATGAGGGATCTTTTCAGGAAGGATATCATACAAGGAGAACTTGAGTCGAGGACATTCGAAAAATATGTGATCGGTTGAGCCTTCATCAAGACCACATTCACATAAAGAATTATCCCATATCCTTAATTTGGCTAGGTGTACCGTTGTGCAAGAATGACCAAAACGAAGACGGCAAATGGTTGATGTTGTAAATTTGTTAGCTTCACGATAATGGAAAAACCAAGGTCTGTATGGGATTGTGTCTTGAATACCGAGCGTAGTGTTTACATTTTATGATTTTAGTTTGGTCCCAGAGACCTTGCCAAGATGCCATGAAGTCAGATCCTGCTAGTGGAAGCAAGTCATGGGGGAAAATTTGATACTGAGAGAGGATACCTGTTCGTGTTGCTTTCTTAGCCAAGAAATCAGCACACTCATTACCACGTATCCCAGAATGGCCTGGAATCCAAGCCAAAACAACTTTTAGGCCTTTTTTGTGACAATTATATAATGCTTTTTAATAAAGAGGATAGGGAAAAGATTTGATTTAGAGTGGAAGGAGCTGGAGATAATGGTTTGGAGACAGCTAAGAGAGTCAGAGAGAATTAAGGTATTTTCCAGGTTGTGAGATTCGGCATATAGAATTGCCTCTAAGATGGCAATAGATTCACCTGTGAAAACTGATGATTCAGGTGGTCACTTAATATCATTCTATGTTTAGGGATCCAAACTGCAGAACCTACACAATCTTTGTTAGAAGTTTTTGAAGCATCTGTGTACATAATGATCCAGTCTTGCCTATTTTCTGAGATGATTTTCTTTAATTTGCTGTTAGGATCAATGGTTTTCTTGTCAAGTCCAAAGTCAAGGATGACGTTTCGATTGAAAACTAGTGCTTCGTAGGGAGTGGAGAAGAGTAAGTTGTTGCTATTTTGGAAGATTGGAGATTGAATGTTTACAAACTTTATATAACCTTTTAAAAGACATGGTATATCTTTATGTCGCCAGTATGGGGAAATTGAAATTTGTTGGTGAAGTGAGTTTAGTATATGGAACAGTGGATGGTTATGAAGAAAACACTTTTTGAACCAGAATTTGTCTGCTAGGTACTGCCTGCAAAGAAAGAGAGGACCTTAACCACACTCGATCTGGAGAGCGTTAGTGGGGGTAGATTTCATTCCTCCTGTTATAATGCGAAGGCATTTTACTTGAATTTGATTCAAAGTTTTAAGCGCACTTTTATTGCATGGTTCCCACAAAAAGGAAGCATAGTCAAAATGGCTTCTAAGCATTATAGCTTTTAGGAGTAAGGATGAGAGCCCCACCAAGCTCCTGATATAGCGCGAATGACGTTAAGTTTTTTTTCGCATTTTGAAGCTATGTAGGATATGTGGGGAATTCCAGACAATTTGCTATCTAACATAACACCGAGGAATTTCACATGGCTCACATTGGGAATCAATGAGTCTCCAATAGAGATTGACACTTCTGGGATGAATCTTCGCCTCGAAAATACCACGATTTTACTTTTTGGGGGGGAGATGGATAAACCATGTTCTGTAAGCCATTCTTGGAGGTAATATACCGCACGAGGTTATCGAGAAGAGGCGTTAGGTAAAGAATGGTCAGTAACAAAAAGAGTCAAATCGTCAGCATATTGGAGTATGTTGGACAGACAGTTTACGGATCTATCTAGATCGTGGGTATATAGGTTATACAGAAGGGGACTTAGAACTTTAGCCTTGTGGAAGACCTTTTCAGGTGTATCTCTCTGGCATGAAGTTACCCTCTACGCGCACTAGAACACGTCTTCCTGAATAAAGGTTTGACACAAAGTTCATTATCCTCACAGGGATGCTCAGCTGATGCATCTTATGCCTGAGCAGCGGAAGTATAACATTATCGTAAGCTGCACAAACATCCAAGAAGACACCTACAAGGAAGTTGTTTTGGGAAAATGCAAGTCTGACATTGGAAATCATAAGGCTGAGGCTGTCAGAGGTCCTCAAACCCTTTCTAAAACCAAACTGGCTTTTAGACAAGATGCCTCTATTTTCTAGTAACCACTCTAGGCGGTTTTTGACGAGGTGCCCCATTATCTTTGATAGAGTGGATGAAATGGCTATTGGACGGTAACTAGTGGCTGTAGAGGGGTCTTTTCCAGTTTTAAGGATATGTATTATGATATGGGTTTTCCAGTCATCAGGAACTGCCCCTGTTGAATATATACAGTTGATTATGTCTAGGAAATATTTTTTGGATGTGGGGCCCATGTGAGTTAAAAGAGAGTACGGAATCCCATCGATACCTGGAGAGGAGTCCTTCAGATGGTTCAACACCAACTGAAGCTCTGTGAGGGAGAAGGTATCATTCATAGATTCATAAGAAAGATGGGAAGGTGGGGAGGTCACTGGGAATATCTCCTCTAAGGAAGGGACCCATGCAGGAGACAAGCTGCTACAGAAGTTGTCTATCCAAAGTGAGGGGTCAGGATTATTTATTTGGCTATCATTGAGAGAACCACGAAATCGCTTTATGTTTTTCCAAACAAGGGAGGCTGGAAAGCGAGGTGACAGACTCTCACAGAATAAAAGCCATGCTTTTATTCTGTGAGAATTGAGCGGCTTGAGCGGCTATTTTTTTATAATTTATAAAGTTTTCCATGGACATATTTGCAGAGTACTGTTGTTCAGCATCTTTGCGTTTTTAACAATAGAAGAATACTCTGCGTCCCACCAAGGAGGTGAGGAAATTTTGTTAATGGAGCTATTTTTAAGGGGGATAGATTTTGTAGCAGATTCATTTAAAAGGGAGATAAAATCAGGGTAGGCATGTTGTAAGTTAATGTGAGACACTGGAGGGAGAGAATGAGCTTTAGTTTCTATATCAGAAAGATATACATCCCAGTTGGCTTTGGACACGTTAAACTTCGAGATGCATGATTTATTCCTAGTGGGAAGGCTTCTACTGGACAAAAACAAAAGGATGGGGAAGTGGTCACTACCAAAGGTGGACGATAGAGTGTTCCAATTGATACTTGCAGCTAAATTAGCAGATCAGAGGGATAGATCTACAACAGAATTAGGACTTTGGGAAGTGAGACCATGCGGGTGGGAGACCCATTATGCAAAATGCAAAGGTTAAACTCATTAAAGTCATCTATTAAAAGATAGGAGAAAGAATAATTTTTATGAGAACCCCACAGTACATTGTGACTATTGAAGTCCCCAATTACAATAAAAGGAGGAGATATGCTAGACAGGATTAAGTTAAGCTCTGTGATACAGGCAGGAGTAGGATTGGAAATATATATTGACACAATTTTGATGTCCATTACTTTTACAGCTGTTGCATTAATATTCTCTTGCAGAGGTGGAAGGGGGATTGAGCAAGAGGTAAGATTTCTATTTAGAAGAATCATAGTGCCACTGTAGCCATCGCTGCGGTCGTCATGGATACACGAAAAACCAGGGATTCTGAATCTGAAACTAGGTCTTAGCCAGGTTTCAAGAGCAAGACTGAGGGGTTATGAGTATTTATCAAATTAGTTAGTTCAGATTTCTTGTTCTTGATGCTCCGACAGTTCCACTGGAGGATGTGGTGTATGCAGCAAGTTTATTTCTCACGTTAAACGTTAGGTGTATGTCGTCAAATTTGCCAATTATATCAGAGATGGAGGACACAAGGTTTTCCAGGAGATTATCATTAGGGGATAAATTAGCTTGAAGAGCATGACCATTTGGTAAGGAAGAGGTAGGGTTCTTACAATATTGTTGTGTGCTACCTTATCATAGCCTACCGAATTTGGAACAGGTCTAGTTGGGTTAATTCTGAAAACAGTCTTTCTATAAGATTGAGAAGCATGTGGAGCAGGGTAAACTTGATAACTGTTGTGATGAAGTGGGTTGGCAAGGAATCCCTAAAGATGCATGCAGCTACATCAGCGTAAGGTCTTCTAACTGCAGAAAATCGAGCAGATGCCTCTAAATATGAAATATTTTCTTGGGACATAACCAGTTTAATGCCTTTTTGTCTAGTATGTTCAGGGCAACTTTTATCAGTTGCCAAGTGATTAGCAGAGCAGAACAGGCATGTTGGGATATCTGTAACGCAATTATCTCCAGTGTGTTCTTTTGACCATTTGAAACAGCGTGGCTTTGATCTGCACTGAGCCTTTACATGTCCAAAGCGACAACACTTCAGACACTGTATGGAAGGGAGTATATAGGTTTCGACAGGAATTGAGGTGTAAAAGCAGTATAAGTGAGAAGGAAGCTCTTGTCCTGAAAATGTAAGGACAACGGTTTGGGTGGCCACCCACTCAATATCATCACCTTTCTTTACTTTTCGGTGTAATCTCCTAGCCTTTATAATTTCTCCTCTAACTGGGGGAAGTTCCGACTCACACACCAACTCCTCCATGGAAATATCGGTTGGTATGCCTCTAACAACACCCATTCTGGTAACATTGAAGGTTGGAATGACTGCTGATAAGTTTATATTTAGCAAGAAAGGATGATTCGATAAAATTATTGGCATCTGTAGCAGTTTTAAAAGCTATTGAGACCCTGTTACGACCTAAATTTGTTATGCTTTGTTTTTCAATATTGGAAACCTTGTTTTGGGATAGGATATGGCCAATCTTGACAGGTCGGATTGTATAACCAGATGAAGGATCAGGTTCTATACGCTTAAGGTGAATTCTAAAAGGCCCTTTATCAGTATCTGTGTATTTTTTCTATTCTAGAAAATCAGGGTGGGTGTAAATGTTTTGATATGACGCTGAAGGCGTGTCATCATGACCTTTTTTTTATGAATGCTTGATGTTATATCCGTACATTTTCGTTTAGAGGGACCGAAACCAGATGGATTGTCTTTATCCGGTGGTTCCGAATCCACCCCGTCAACGTCCATCGTGTTAGTTAAGAATACATAAATTGATTAACTATCGCTACTTACCAACAAATAAGTAATGAACGATATCGAACAACACAAATTTATATAATAACAAACACAGAAGACGGCAAAGATATTAACGAAGCTCAACACAAAAATATATCCGAAAATCGCTGAAACACGTGTGACTACCAATCACTCTGACAGCAGAATCCTGACATTACCCTAATTCACAAGCAAAACTGGTATTTATATTTGTACATACATGATACCTACTGTCCATGGAGGCGTAATTTCGTTGACGAAGACTTGAATTTTTCATTTTACCCTCACTGGCCACCTACTTGTAGCTTGCATATAAAATTACTCTTATAAATTTAATTAGTGTGGATGGAGCAGGTATAGTCGTATTGAAGATTGGTGACGGACTGACAGACGCCTAGCATAAATCAACTTTCTAGTTTTAAGAGCAAAACGTCTGTTATATTAATATATAATAATATAACAGATGTTCTGCTCTTAAAACTTTGACGGCTCCGTGGCGCAGTGGCTTAGCAATCAGTTGTTGCGCTGGGGGCCGCGGGTTCGAATCCCGCACGAAACAAGTATTTGTATGGCCTACAAATAATTGTTCCGGGTCTAGATGTTTGTCCTTGTGCAATTTATGTTTATAAACAGCCTCCACGACACAGGAGAAAATCCTAGTGTGGGGGTAACGTTTTTAAAAAAAAGAAAGAAGAAGAAAGAATATATAATTTTTTTCAAAAGGCAAAATAACATCTTTAAAGAACAATATTATGGAATAAAAATAAATAAAAATTTTTGTCAGACTATAATTCAATTTAAATGAAAACTAGTGTTTTGAGACATTTTTATTACCTGAGTAGGTAACCCAGTTGGCAGCCCACCCCATGACACTTTATCCCGTGATATTTTACTATAATTATTAGAATTTTATTTTTACGATATATTATGCTCATAATTTTTTCAGGTAATGATGATTCAAGAACAAGTTGCTATGTTCCTTGGCGTTAAAAGTTTTAAGCGGCGATATCCCGAACTAAAAAGACGAACAATTTGTGGTGAGGAAAGGGATTATGTTCTAAGTAAAGGACTAGTTACAGAAGCTCTTTGTGATCTTGGTAAATGTTTTTTTTTTCATTTATTTTGTTTTTATTTTTTTACCAAAATATTTAAATTGAATTTTTTACTATTTGAAGTGATTTTTAATTAATATAATAATTTAAAACTACTTATTGCATTTATTCTAATAGGAATTACTGCAGTAGATGCAAGTGAAGTCTTAGACATTATGCTATCGGACTACCCACATAAGTATGAGGAATATCGTTCCCATCAATGCCGGAGGCAGCTGACTGAGCCTCAGGAGGAGACAGTGGAAGAAATAAAACAGGAGATAAAGGCGGAAAAAATTGAAATTAAACAAGAGCATAAATCAACAGACAATAAACCAGAACAATCAAAAGTTGACCTGGAAAAGACCAGACAGGTAAGTTTTAAATGTTAGTCACAACAGAAGTGATAACATATTTCTCCCACTCTTGGCTAAACTCATGTCTTTCATATGTTCATGAAGGAGCATTTCACTATAGAGTCCTGATGAAGCTAATGCACATATGTTTTTATTTTCCAGCTAAGTAGTGTTGTGATTTTGGCTGCCAAGCATACTGATATTACTTCTTGTTCTTCTGGTAGATCATTTCTGGTCCTGGGTTTGAAACCGGCTCATACCTAAGGTTTTTGCAGAAACTTAAATTTGTTTTGTTTTTGATTATGTTGTATGTGTCTCTGGCATGCAATAAAAACGGTGCTTTCCATTGTTACATCAAGTATGGGTAGGTTAGGACAAGTGAAGTACCTCTATAGTAGTGCATATACTTATAGGACTATAACATTATAATAGAGCCATTTTAATCTGATATTTTGATATCTGAAAGTTTTAGCTTTAATAGTGAGGTGACCTGCTTAAAAACCAACTAAAGTGTATGAGTCGATACGGACTTCATACATATGTGAGTAACATTACAGTACCTATAAGTACTTTTCATAATAACTGAATAGGTACTACTAATTTTATTTTAAAAAATAGCAGTTGAATCCTTGTCCCATTATTATTTACTGTCGTAAATTTGAAGAATTAGAGAAAAAGAGAGAATTTGAAGAAGTTAAATTCGAGAGGTGTAAGACAGGGTGACATTATATCCCCGAAACTCTTCACCACTGAATTGGAAGACTTCAAGCTACTGGATTGGAAAGGATACGGTATTAACATCATTGGCGAGTCCATCACTCACTTTCGATTTGCCGACGATATAATCATTATGGCAGAATTGCTGGAGGACGTAAGCACTATGCTCAAGCTCAATGACCTCAATAGTATGTCCCAACGGATAGGTCTTAAGATGAACATGGACAAAACAAAGATCATGTATAACATCCATGTCACACCTATGCTGGTAGTTATTGGAGCACTAAGCTCTGAAGTTGTTGACGATTATGTTTACCTGGGGCAAATAGTTCGACTAGGTAAGTCCAACTTCGACCGAGAGTTTAATGGCGGATTCGACTGGGCAGCGTTCGGGAAATTACGACACATCTTCTCGTCAGATATACCTCAAAACTTGTAAACGAGACTGTATAACCAGAGCGTGTTATCAGTGATGACTTATGGAACTGAAACGTGGTCCTTCACTGCTGGCCGTATGAGGAAGCTCAAGGTCGCTCAGCGAGCTATGGAGAGGGCTATGTTCGGGATTTATCTACCTGATAAACTTATCAGAATATCCGCAGTAGAACCAGAGACCGACATAGCAAAACGGATTAGTACCGAAGAGGCAATGGGCCGGCCATATAGCTCAAAGAACCAACAACCAATGGGGAAAAAAGTTTATCGAATGGCAACCTCGTACCGGTAGGCGAAGTGTAGAGTGACACTACTAGATGGAGTGACAACCTGGTATATATATACGTATATATAGATATATTCACATCTTGTTCATAATCTTGTAAAATTATTTCCTTTGTTTTCTCCACGACCTTTCTCCAGTCTTCTGTAGTGACTTCTTTCTGCACACGCAGTTTGTAGCAGAGTCAGCATTTTAGCAGTACTGAAGGGTTTTTCAGTACGGTTCCGCGCTACATGACCCTTTATTTGTGCCCAAAACATTGTGTCCATGCTCTAAGCTAGTTCATCGATTACATAGCGGACCTTGGACGGCTTACTTGCTTTTAACAACTCAACTTTTAATGAAGTTGGACTTGCTTCTACACCATTTCTTAGTAGCCATGAGACAATTTCTTGCTTTTTATTTGCTTGAGTTGGTGGTTTATCAACTTGTACAGGATGATAATCTTCGGCTACACGCATTCAGGTTCTACCTGCCACTTTATGCAGATCGTCGCTCCATCTGGTCAGGGAGCGTCCCACACTACGTTTGCCTAGACTCGGTCTCCAATCCATAACACGTCTACTTCACCGGTTGTCACCACTGCGACAGATGTGGCCAGCCCATTGTCACTTCAGTTTACAAACACAGAAGGATATGTCAGTAATCTTGGTTCTCCGGCGGATTTCTTCAATTCGAATTTTATCTACCAGAGAAACTCTTCTCTTCCATCGCTCGCTGAGCGACTTTGAGCTTGTAGACTAGCCGTGTCGTCAGTGTCCAGTGTCCACGTTTCGGCACCGTAAGTAAGTAGGGACAGGACGCACTGGTTGAAGACTTTTGTCTTCAGACTTTGCGGTATAGGCGACTAGAAAACCCGAAGGAGCTTTCTAAATGCTGTCCAGCCTAACTGAATCCTCCGATCGGCTTCCTTCTCGAAGTTATTCTTATCTAGTTGCAATATCTGTCCGAGGTAGGTATATTCCTTGACAGCATGACGTGATCGTGGAACATAACTTTGGCTTTGTTCAGATTCATGGACCAACAGGTCGGGAGGATTCATTCAGTCTGTTCAGCATGTCCTGAAGTTCTTGCAGCGATTCCGCCATGACGACGATATCATCAGCAAAGCGTAAGTGTGAGATGTACTCACCGTTTACGTTAATGCCGCGTCCTTTCCAGTCTACCGTCTTAAAAACATTCCCCAGTGCATTTGTAAACATTTTAGGGGATATAAACTCTTTCTCACTTCTCGATACAACTGGATTGGTTTTGTTTGGCTGCTCTGTACTTGAACGGAGATCGTACTGGTGTTGTAAAGACATCTCAGCACTTCGATGTACTGCCAGTCAATTTGGCACCGCTGCAAAGAATCCAGAACAGCTAAAGTTTCGATGGAGTCAAAGGCTTTCTCATAGTCCACAAATGCAAGACACAGGGGCTGATTTTAGTCTGTTGTCTTCTGTATTATTTACCGCACTGTGTGAATGTGATCTATGGTGCCAAATCCTCCTTGAAACCCATCCTGTTCCGCAAGTGGAAAGTCCTCGAGTCCTCGCGCTAGTCGATTTGTGATAACTCTCCAAAACAATTAGACGTGGCTCAGAACCGAGATGGGTCGATAATTTTTCAGCATAGTCTTGTCACCTTTCTTGTGAAACAAGACTGTAATTCTTCTGCTCCACGCCTTTGGAGTTCTCCCATCTCGTAAGATGCAGTTAAAAACTTGGCAGAGCTCTTTTAGCAAGGGCTCCCAGCCTTTAAGAGCTCTGTTGTAACTCCATCTTCTCCAGGGGCTTTTCCATTTTTAAGTTGGCCGAGGGCCAGCTCAATCTCCTGAAGTCAGATATTTGGCACCTCGTCAGTATATTAGCATTTAGGATTAGGTTGTGGCTTATGTGAGGCATAAAGTTTGCTATAATAGTCTTCGATCTTAGAGAGAACCTCAGGCTTTGACGTGAGGACTTTGCCATCATGCGTCTGCAGTCTTGCGATGTGACTTCTCCCAAGCTCCCAAGCAAAGACTGGATCCCTTGTTTCGCTCTATTGCCGTTTGTATCAGAATCGCATTAGTGCGCCGCAGGTCCCGCCTCACAGCTTTCCTCACAAACTTGGTTAATGTCACCTATTCCGATGGCGTTGTTGTTGTTAACTCACGCCTTCTTTTCATAAGCTGAAGTGTCTCATCTGAGAACTTCGACTTTCGGCCCATATGTTGCTTGTCACAAAACCTGTTGCCCTCATCCCTTAAAATCTTGATCACGCTGTTAAGGTCCTCGTCAATGTCCAACGTGGGTCTCAAGGCATCGAATCGGTTTTTAAGTTCCAGCTTGAAGCGTTGGGAGCCAGTCACGGTTTGAAGCAGATTTGGTCGAAGGGTAGACTTCATCAATCGGGACCTATCAAGCGTAAAATCAGATCAGATATTCAGAGTGCCTCGGACAAGGCTATGATCGCTTCCGGTATTGAATCACTGAGACATCTCTGAATATGTGCCTTTTGTCCATCATGATGAAGTCAATTTCGTTTTTTGTTTTGCTATCGAGACTGCGCCAGATCCACTTCCTTTGGGGCTTCTTTTCGAAAAACGAATTCATCAGAAATGCCCCTCTTTCTCGAGGAAGTTGACCAGCATTTGTCCCCTGTGATTTCTGCTTCCAAAACCGTGAGGTCCCAAAATCGACTCGACGCCCGTGTGCTTACCCACCTTGGCATTAAATTCCCCCATAACAACATTGTAGTGGGCCTTAGTGGTGTTATGTAAGACCGTTGAAATGTCTTCATAAACTGTTTCAACTTCATCATCCGAATGTGCCGAGGTCGGGGCATAAACTTGTACGATCTTCAGAGAGTATCTCTTTGATAACTTCAGCAGTACAAGGTATGCTACCAGTCCCGACACACTGGAGATTTCTACAATGTTGTTAGTGCGGATCCTGTGAACGAGGAAACCTACTCCGCCTTGGGAAAGGCCGTCTCCCTCCCGAAGTAGAGTAGATGGCCGGATTGCAGGGTAATTGTGTCCTCCCCCTCTCTTCGGACTTCACTTAACCCTACAATTTGCCATCTTATATTTTCCAGCTCAGCTTCCAGTTCGTAAATGTTTCCGTCTTGCCGCAGAGTCCGTCTATTATACGTCGCAAGGTCCAGTTTTTGGTGGTGGTAACCTATCCTCTCCCAGAGATTCTCTGCACCCCCTGCCTCACCATTGCCATGACCGCCACCACGGTCAGTAATAATGGGGCGACCGGGAACTGGGGGCAGTGTTTTTGTGGTGCTGTTCATGGGAGGATTTACCCTTAATCGCCACGCTGGGCAAGCGGGTTGCCGATCGCAGTGCCAGACACATCGCACCTGTAATGCTGCTGCCCATCACAGGCCTGGGCATTTTGGTCTGACGATGAGGGATGGTTATGCCGCCATCCGTCGGAAGCCTAGAGGTCTCCCTTTTTTTTAAATGCCATTTCCCTCTGTCGGCTCGTACGACATCCATGGGATCAGAGGGAGTGGCAGTATTCTAGGCCGCTACACAGCACAGTCCATAATAATATTCGATGGGTTTTCTAAGCTGCACTCTTTAAAAACCTCAAAAATTCATTTCCTCATGGTAATCACTTGTAGTTTTAGACGCGAATGCGAGGAGGCAGTCTGGAATAAAACCTTGAGTAATTGAGACCGCGTGACATATAATAAGGTGGGCTTCTTTTCTCGATGGAATTTTTGAGGTGGAGGCCGCTGTATCCATCAGTCCATGTCCGAAACCGTATGGTTTGCATTCAACTATGTTTAGTCAATAAACACGACATTGTCCCAATCTGTAATTTTATTTACTTGACATAATAATGTTATCGTAGCGTTCCAGCAGAATTTTCCGCTTATTAGATTTTTAAATCTAAAGCCAATAGATTTAAAACCTTTGACAGAGACGATTTACCACCGAAAAATAAGCCTGCCTCTTTGTTCAAACGTAATATATAGCTTTTTCCGTGTAGGATATTAGTAATATCCATAAATGTGGTTGCGAATTGCAGCAGCATTAAAATTATCAACGCGACGAACAATTTTCTTGTCCCTCTTTCTTTTTTTCGGTGTACTTAAAGTATTATCTTCTGAGCCTGATGGTCCGTATTTCTCTTTAAGAATTTGAGGTAATGTCCTCTTTCCTATAGAGGCGCATCGTTAACTGATTCACGTTCAAAATATTGTACAAATTCACCACTAGTTCGCGAGATTGACTGTTTAGCGTTTTTGCTAGTTTCGACATGGTAAAACAAGACTGTTGTTCGTGTTTACTAATCGTTAAGCATTCAGAGTCCACTTTATAGCCAGGTAAACGTCAGAGTAATATCAGTTCAATAAAAAGCCTGGTCAGAAGAAAATAACAGAGAGCACACCATAAATGCACAGTCACCTCACACAACGACAAAAGACTGTCATGTAATGGCGACATGACTTGGCGTCATCGACAGGCACTAGTGTTGCCAGGAACATCCCACGAGTTTTTGGACTAAAATTCTACCTTGCTATTATTATTTTTATAGTTTTAGAGTTAATTAAAAGAATAATATGTTTTATTATCATCAAAATGTGGTTACTCATTTATGGTGAAATATTCCTTCACAAGTACATACTAATCACTGCATTCGAATCTACTTATCAACGTTCTATTTTTTTGGAAACATCCCTAGTGTTAAAAGGAAAAGGGTTCACTGACGCAACGTTGTAACGACATTCAGTTCTCTTTAGAACAGAAATTGTTTATTATGTTTAAATGGTTTATTAGTGAAAGTAAATCGCAAAATTACCTTCTTTTGTCATTATTACAATAAATATGTAATCGTAATTGAAAAAAGTTAAGCAATTGTGCAGTTCTAACTTCGAAAAAATAAATAATATTTTATGCCCGCCGTTACAAGTTTACGTTGATGAATTTTGATTAAGTGTCAAATGTGATCTATTAAATTGGCTATTATACGTTATGTGATTTAAGCATAACTATGTATTATCAAAATACACTCTAACCTGTTATTGTATAAATAAAAGTTGGTAATAGGTACTTACATTGATGTTTTAATGTACATGTAGGGTTCTAGGGTAACATTTTTTTAAGTCTGTTAATAACCGAGATATTTATATGTTAAATTTTATTTACGAATAGTTGTCATATACAATTATTTGTGTTGTGAGTCACTTGTCTCTCATAAAAGTTTTTCAAATTGTCTGGACATTATAAATAATGTCCTATTAATCACTTGGTCCATAACATATACATATACACAAAAGAAGTCCTCAGTGGTTGTGTTTTTTAACACATCTCCTTTTATAATTCTTAATCTTTTAGGTTTTCCTTAGGTTCGTCGCTCTGCTGGCAGAAAAGTCGTAAGCACTCATTGGCGATTTTTACGTAGGACACATATACACAAAAGAAGTCCTCAGTGGTTGTGTTTTTTAACACATCTCCTTTTATAATTCTTAATCTTTTAGGTTTTCCTTAGGTTCGCCGCTCTGCTGGCAGAAAAGTCGTAAGCACTCATTGGCGATTTTTACGTAGGACATGGCGGCTGCGGCGATCGCGTCTGCGAGCGAGTGGAACGCGCGGCTGAACGCGTCGCGGCGGCCGGCGTGCGCGGACCTGCAGTCGCTGACGCTGCAGCGCCGGCGCGCGCCGCCCGCCGCCCCGCCGCCGCCCCGCGTGCGCCCGCCGCACGGCTTCTACCCGCTGGCGCTGCTGCCCGGCCAGTACCAGCACTGCTACCGCGTGTACTCCAGCGACCAGCTCAGGTGAGGTGCCGCCCCCCGCCGCCCCGCGTGCGCCCGCCGCACGGCTTCTACCCGCTGGCGCTGCTGCCCGGCCAGTACCAGCACTGCTACCGCGTGTACTCCAGCGACCAGCTCAGGTGAGGTGCCGCCCCCCGCCGCCCCGCGTGCGCCCGCCGCACGGCTTCTACCCGCTGGCGCTGCTGCCCGGCCAGTACCAGCACTGCTACCGCGTGTACTCCAGCGACCAGCTCAGGTGAGGTGCCGCCCCCCGCCGCCCCGCGTGCGCCCGCCGCACGGCTTCTACCCGCTGGCGCTGCTGCCCGGCCAGTACCAGCACTGCTACCGCGTGTACTCCAGCGACCAGCTCAGGTGAGGTGCCGCCCCCCGCCGCCCCGCGTGCGCCCGCCGCACGGCTTCTACCCGCTGGCGCTGCTGCCCGGCCAGTACCAGCACTGCTACCGCGTGTACTCCAGCGACCAGCTCAGGTGAGGTGCCGCCCCCCGCCGCCCCGCGTGCGCCCGCCGCACGGCTTCTACCCGCTGGCGCTGCTGCCCGGCCAGTACCAGCACTGCTACCGCGTGTACTCCAGCGACCAGCTCAGGTGAGGTGCCGCCCCCCGCCGCCCCGCGTGCGCCCGCCGCACGGCTTCTACCCGCTGGCGCTGCTGCCCGGCCAGTACCAGCACTGCTACCGCGTGTACTCCAGCGACCAGCTCAGGTGAGGTGCCGCCCCCCGCCGCCCCGCGTGCGCCCGCCGCACGGCTTCTACCCGCTGGCGCTGCTGCCCGGCCAGTACCAGCACTGCTACCGCGTGTACTCCAGCGACCAGCTCAGGTGAGGTGCCGCCCCCCGCCGCCCCGCGTGCGCCCGCCGCACGGCTTCTACCCGCTGGCGCTGCTGCCCGGCCAGTACCAGCACTGCTACCGCGTGTACTCCAGCGACCAGCTCAGGTGAGGTGCCGCCCCCCGCCGCCCCGCGTGCGCCCGCCGCACGGCTTCTACCCGCTGGCGCTGCTGCCCGGCCAGTACCAGCACTGCTACCGCGTGTACTCCAGCGACCAGCTCAGGTGAGGTGCCGCCCCCCGCCGCCCCGCGTGCGCCCGCCGCACGGCTTCTACCCGCTGGCGCTGCTGCCCAGCCCTTACCAGCACTTTAATTAATAATTTCATTAGTGCTGGCAGGTATTGAACTCATTAACTGTAATGTAGTAAAAACAACTGGAGATTTAAAAAAAACTGCTAAAAAAATAAAGTAGTGAAACAACTTTTTACTTGTGTTACAGATACTTCCCGTTGAATACGGCACTAGCAGCGCCACCCGCTGTGGCGTCTGTGGAGTCCAGCTCTGACTCGGAGCCCGACTGGATCGAGCGCTCCTCCTCCGCGGACTCCGACGTCGAGACGCACCCTCCTAAGGTAATACACACGCACACACGCACACAAGCACTCACATATGCATACACATACTTACACAAAACAATACTTCTTTAAACAGGCATTGTTTCCTGTACAAATTATGTGTCTATATGCATGTCTGCATATTTGACCTTTTCAATTCCCTTGTCCGCCTATACATGTCTAGCTAGAAATAGGCATCTTCGCTTATATACATATTCATACATTCGCCGGTGCATATTGTTGTCAACATGTCAACCACATATCTATAAACATTCTCGACTTGGTTCTATTGGGTATCACCTTTTTACCTAATCCTCCGACAAGCAACTCTATACGAGTATATACAAATTTATGTTCCGGTCTGAAGACTATAGAGGTATAGAGTGACAGTGTAGTTACAGACTGTGAGGCATTTCATTTTAGCCCTCAGAGATGACAATGTATCCGTAGTCTTCTTTGTTTGAAGTTAATTTCAGGTGCCCATGAGCTGCTATAGCCTTGTACCATTAGAAGTGTAAGTTAATTTGCCACTATAACTTTATAAAAGAAATATGTAAAAAGTGAACTTCTCCAATGAAATTCGATATAAAGAGGATAACTGTGACTACAAATGTATGATACTGATGTATCTCCTGAATGTTATTCCTAAGAATTACTTAAAATGTAACTGTCGCATTCTTGGTTAAATTATTATCAGGTTATTGCGTAAATTAACCAAAATCTTTGTAAATATTTGAATTGTATTGTAGTCATTTCCATGGTATGCTTACACAAATACACAATACGACATAATCAAATACGCAGCCAACTACGGTTACATAATAGCACTTGCAGCTTAAGAACGTAGGATTACGTAGACTTAAAAATTATGATAAAATTATAATACGAGGGCTGCACTAAAAGTATCGGGAATAGAATATTTCCACTGTTCCTGTCATATTAAAATCTTTTTAATTGAAAACTCCTTGGTTTCAAAAATCGAATACCATTTATTTATTTAAAAAAAGATTCTCGGTCTTGCCACAAGGTTTTATCAAACTTGTTTAGTCGTTGAGAAAATGGAATTGACTCGAGAAAATTCAAGAGCGATGAGTTATTATGACTTGAAGTGGTTTAACACAAAAACAGTGTGTTGACCGGATGATTTCTGCATTTGGTGATGAAGCCCCATCCAAAACCACAATTTATCGCTGGTTTGCTGAATTTCAACGTGGACGTGTCAAGCTCAGTGATGATCTCCGTCAAGGTCGTCCAAAAACTGCAGTCACCCAAGAAAACGTTGATGCTGTGCGTAAGCTGATTGAGGAAGATCGACATGTGACATAGCGCGAAATTCAGGCAACTTTAGACATTAACATGAGTCAAATACAAATAATCTTGCATGAACAATTAGGTGTAAAAAAGTTGTTTTCCCGATGGATACCGCATTCGCTCTGTGAAAAGCAAAAAGTGGCTCGCGTTACTTGGTGCGTCAGAACTCTCGAAAGATTCCACGCAGGATCCTCAAATGTTGTATACAACATCGTATCAGGTGACGAATCCTGGATATACGCGTACGAACCCGAAACAAAAAACCAGTAACGAATTTGGGTGTTCGAAAATGAGTTAAAGCCAACAAAAATTGTTCGTTCACGGAGTGTTGCAAAAAAAATGGTGGTCACGTTTGTCTCCAAAACCGGCCATGTTACGACTATTCCTCTTGAGGGACAAAGAAGGGTTAAAAAGAACTGCAACCGCCGCATCATCCTCCATCACGACAATGCGAGTTCTCACACCGCACACAGAACAAAAGAGTTTTTAGAGCAAGAAAACATAGAATTATTAGACCATCCGCCGTACAGCCCCGACCTAAGCCCTAATGATTTCTATACTTTCCCTAAAATAAAGAATAAATTGCGTGGACAGAGATTTCCATCATCTGAAGAAGCTGTGGACGCCTACAAAACGGTCATTTTGGAGACCCCAACTTCCGAATGGAATGGTTGCTTCAATGATTGGTTCCATCGTATGGAAAAATGTGTCAAATTTCGCGGAGAATACTTCGAAAAGCAATAAATAAATACATTTTTAAATAGTAACGTTGTGTCACTTCCTTGATTCCCAAAATTTTCAGTGCCGCCCTCGTACATGATCAGCCGACACGTACGTTTAATAATCTAATGCGAATTTTATACCACAAATGTCAAATGCCCAGCTCAAAACTTATAAGTAAAGTTGTAATTACTGAAAACCTTAAGCTGCTAAAGAACGACTCAATGCATGTGTCACTAAAGTCTTAATTATATTTTATGTATTACACTTTTTTTTCAATTTTTATTAGTTTTTAGCAGTCCCTTGCTGGATGCCTTCTACTCATGGGCCTTCTATTGTAAGGAATTGTTATGTTTGGCAGGCAGTTTAGCAATTATAGTAGCAGATATCTTGGATATTTGGCGCTATTTTCTGTCACCGGGTTTGAGTTTTGTACAAATACAATATATAAAAAAATTATACAGGCATGGTACAAGTACTTAAAATTAACGTAAAGCGCTAGTCATAGAAACATTTAAAGTATGGTCTAGTACCAATCAGTAAACGAGTACTTGTGGCATCTCAAACCAAATTATTATAAAGTTAAATACTTAAAAAAATGTTTTCTTTTTTAGCGTAAGAAGCTTATAAAAACCAAACGCAGCAGTCAAGCTGAGAGTCAAGTGGCGGCAGTGAAGGAGGAACCACAGGAGGGCGAAGTGGACACTTGTCGTGTTTGCAAGCTGCGGCTCGAAGCCAATCGCAAATACACGCATGAGAGGTTCCTCGTCTGCTCCAATTGTAACGCTAAGCGTGAGTTTATCGCTGTTGACTTCATACTTAGTAGATCCACATAAATACACCAACATGGTATAGGAATATTTTAACAACACATGAATTCCAAATAATATGTCAATATTTTCTTAATACATGTACACATGTAAACATTTGGTTACCATCTCGCAGTAATTTCCAAAAAAAAAACGGTCTTGTGTGAGTAGTAATGCGGCTTGGTGTTGGATGTCCTACGTGGCACGATAGATAGATTGACCTCAACCTCGAAATCACATTTTGCCTGGTACCGCAGCGACGTCATGTTGAAAAGCACCAGCTTGCAGCATTCCCACTGCTCTTAACATCTCTTCTCCAGTTAAATGTAGACGTTGCATTATAATAAAATGTCAAATTATCACAATCATCTCAAGTTGAATCAAAAATATGATTAAATAGCTGTTTTCAACAAAAAAATAAATTACAATTACTCTTAGTACAAAATTCGCTCCCTCTAGTTCTACTCAATTTTTACCGCCATCACATTTTATTTTATATATATTTTTTTAAACTGGAATATCTGGAATAAATGACCAACATTTAGATATTAAAACATTTTAAAGTGGCCAGTCCTTTTTTAGTTGGTTAATGTTATTAAAAATATTTCTATACCATGGTGAAGTTTTATTATTTAAACATTCCATTTGTTGTGATTGCAATTCTTACTAGGGAAGTTAATAACTTAATTTAAAATTATACACCAATTTAATCATACAATAAGTCATTTAATGTTTGCATAATACACCAACTTGCAAAAATGAAATATTTCCCCATACTCACCATTCTCAGTAATTCTGTTGGCGACTACAAAAACGATAGATACCCTAGCACCGATAATGCTTCTTTCTATCATACGACATGGGTTTGATATTTATTGAAAAAAAAAAATAATGAATAATTCTAACAAAGTATACAGTACAATAAAGCCAGGATATCTGGAATACCAAGGATTCAGTTTTTCTTCATTCCACATAGTTGTATCTTAAACACAGTTACAAAAGTTGTTTTAGAGACAGCTAGGTTAGTGTATTTTAGTTACTTTCATAGCGTAATGTCTTATGGAATTTTGCTATGGGGTAATGCGACTGATATTGAAGCTATATTTGTTTTGCAAAAGAGAGCCGTACGGGCGATTTATAATCTAAATTGTAAAGAGTCCCTTAGAGAAAAATTTAAAGAAATAAACATATAAACTTTGGCATCGCAATATATTTATGAAAATGTAATGTATGTACATAAAAACATAAATAGCTTTAATAAGAATAAGGATGTTCATACCTTAAACACTAAGAACAAACATAAGCTTGTAATGCCACTTACAAGACTCCACAGAATTAGTAATTCATTTATGGGGCAATGTATACGCTTTTACAACAGAATCCCAGAACATGTTCAAAGTTTGTCAATAAACAAGTTTAAAAGTTTTATTAAAGAAAAACTGTACAAAAAGGGTTATTATAATATCAAGGAATACATGAATGAAAATAACCCCTGGGAATAAGGTGATCGCCACCATGCTGGTTCTATGAAAATTCATTTAAAATTGTATAATCAAAATTATTGCTAATGTGAAATTATGTTTAAAAAAAAAAAGTCCCGCTGGGTTTCTTGCTGGTTCTTCCCAGGACAGAGGTATTTTCCGAACCAGTGGTAAATAAAATAATGACTTTCAATAAGTATTATGTAATAATCCATATTGAATAAAAATCATTCTATTCTATTCTAACATTTACACATGTTCACTGAGATTAAAATAAAACATATTTATATTTTATCTTTTCTTTTAATGTAATCTATGCAGAATAAACTTACAATATGTAATGCCCATAATCAAACACTACTCTTCTACTACGTCTTGTGGTGGTAGAATCGGTTTTGAATTTAATTTTCCTTAATATTGGATCCCACATAGATGGTAGTACCCAGCTAGTTTATTGAAATACTTTTTCTTTTCAATTTTAATTTCAATAGACTCGCAAATCATTTCATTCTGATCCCTTTTTATGCCATTGCATAGACTCCTGTTTACTCCCAGGGTTATAGTGGTGAACCCACCTGTAACTATCCTATCCAAAACACTTGTTGGGTCGTCACTACACAGCTCTAAAAACTCCCTACAACAGTGAACCCGCGCCTGCTTTTGAAGCGCAGTGAGCATTCGCGGCACTCATCTTGTACAGACTTGTGAGGTTGAGATAGTTATGCAATATGGTGTGTAAGGTACCAACGGATAGGTTAGTGACTTCTGCTTACATTTTAATTCTTACTCATGCATCTTCTAATACAAATTTTTCAATAATTTTCACATTTCCTTCTGTAGCTGCTGTGATTGGCCCACCCGGGCGGGGGTTATCTTCTATGCTTTCCCTGACTCTTTTGAATGCTCTTGACCACTTCTGTATGGTTGACATTGACGAGCAGAGTCTTGGTAAACGGCCACCATTTCGTCATGGATGTTTTTTGGAGTTTTTCTTTGTTTAGTGAGGAATTTAATCACCGCACGGTGTTCGATTTTTTCAACATTGTCGAGTCAGTCATTCCCGTCGTCTATGACTTAAGGTTACATAAGAAGTAATGAAGCTATCAAGACAAAATTTCATATTTATACCCTCAGCTTGTATCGTTAGCTAATATTTTTTTAATTACCCACATTATCACATTATTTTTTTTAATGTGGTAGAGCCATGCTGCTCCTATATTAGTAGTATAGTTATAGCACGAATGAGTCGGCTCGACCGGGGAAGGACCACGCTCTCACAGAATATCAGCGTAAAATAGCAGCTTAACGCTGCTGGGTTTTGTATGGTGAGTGTAGAGAACCGGAGACCCCTTTTTACTAGAAATGAGGCATTCCATCTTAGTCCTCACGGGTGACAACGCATCTGCATTTTGATTTGTAATAGAGGATAGATGTAGATGTCTATGGGCAGCAGCAACCACTTACCTTCAGGTGGACTGTGTGCTCGTATGTCATCCTTATCATATAAAAAAATATTAGCAAATCACCCTTACACCAAGAATATATTGAACGCTCCTCGTATATGTAAAAATATATTTGAGATGTGATAGAACCATCTGGAGTATATTATGGCTACTGTACGAATGGGTTGATTTGACTGGAGAAATACACTCCGCCCACAGAATACCAGTGTAAAATAGCGTACTGCTGCTTTCTTCTTGTTAGAAAATTTACAATGAAGTGGATATTTTTAGTGATTTCATAGTATTGTTTTTTAATAATAGTTAAATCGAAAAATAAAATAATCTGTGTTGCACTTCGAGACTTTACCACATGTAACAAAAACCCTGTGGTTCCCGTTAAGTACGTTATCAGGATCAGTATTCATAAAGTAAACCTATAGAAATAACTTTTTTTTTTAAAAACTTGACCATAATTTTTTTATTTTATTAATATTTTTTTTAATTTTATGTGGTTTTATTACCTCTTACTGACACTAGCCGATGCTAAAGCCAAGTAATGCGGGGTCTTTGACAATCCTCTTACTCCCCAGACAATGCAGAGTTAATAAAATCACATACAATTTGCATACAATTTTTTTTAAATAAAATAAAAAAAATATTGTTCGAGTTTTAAAAAAAAAAGTTATTTCTATAGGTTTGAATAATGATCCTGATAACGTACTTAACGGGAACCACAGGGTTTTGTTACATTTTGTATATTCAGTAATAATAACGCTTAAAATACAGTATTTTAGCTTATAATAATGGTTGTATTCAATCTGAAAGATGACTCTGATGTATATATTCGTAAAACACTATGGAGGGATTGTTTTCGTTCTAAATAATAGTAATTAAAACATTTGTTCTGTAGTGCCCTAAATAAATACTTCATCTCTCTAAAGCCGTTATTTTGTTGAAATAATTTGCTTATATCGTTACGATAGCCTTTGAAAAATCCCTAAATCATGTAGTTTTCAACGCGAATCGCTTACACCCTCATAATAGCGCCATCTACTTAATTTTATAGGTAAAGTCATTTTATCAAGGTGGTACGTAAAATAGACGCCAGATGGATTAAACACGATGAATTTAATAATATTCTATCTCATTCTCTCGCAGGCTGAGTCCTATAGATGTATACGTTTGTCTGTTTCGTTTGATCGAGTTTGAAGTGACAGCTGTTGTGGTTATGTTGAAGTGTTGAGCTGAAAGCGGGCGATGCGTTCGTTTGCAGTGCACCCGGGGTGCGTGGAACTGGGCGCGGACACGATCCGCAAGTGCCGCGAGTACGCGTGGCAGTGCGCCGAGTGCAAGACGTGCTGCGCCTGCCGCCTGCCCGCCGACGACGACAAGATGCTGTTCTGCGACCTGTGCGACCGCGGCTTCCACATCTACTGCGTGGGCCTGCACCACGTGCCCAGCGGTGCGTGCACTCCTCACCCTCCCTCACACCCTAACACCCTGGCAACAGTGCCAGTGCCCTATAGATTGCTATAGTTATTTGCCATAATTGCCACGCTTGGCAGGTTACACCGAATCAAAGTCTGCTGCTTAAAATAAGCCTTTCCGCAAAGATTGCCTAAGTTATTTGCCATAGTTGCCATAATTGACAGGCAGGTGGCAACCGCTGTGTTAGGAAGACGCTGTCCATCTGGTTTGTTTCCCTCTTACAATCCCTGTGGGGCGATATGAGGTACTGAATATTCTTACACTGCTACTTTAAGGTCGAATAATAAATAGCCTTCCTTTTATTTATTTATGACTAGATTTTTATCCGCGACTAAAACTTAAATAAATAAAAAACTTGTAGATCTAATTAAAATCTTATAAAATGGAAGATAAATTAAAAGGACCTTTTCTGGGTAAAATTGCAAACCAAAAAATGTTTTGTTCGAAACTTTTAGTTTATGATATTATCAAAAACCATTTAAATTTTTCGATATCACAAAAAAAAAATTTACATATTTTGCCTATACAATATAGCCTCAATCACTCCTGGCATTGTTCATCTTAGTGAGGTTTCATCATAATCGGTTCTGCCATTCGAAAAATTAGCCCAAATAGACATACATTTCAATAATTGTTTGTCTTAATAGCATGCAAATAACCTCTTGAGCTTTATAAAAGAAAGCAATTTCCATATTACAGACAGGCACTTAAATTTATTTGTATTGTATAGATAACCACCGCCATATAACGATCATGTGTGTACCTATAAATGGTTACTTGGAAGTTGTATGTGTGAGAATCCACTAAGTTGTGTGAGAATTCACTACTCCATATCATCCTGTGGATGTCGTAAGAAGTGACATAGGGAAACTGAAACAGAAGATGGGCAGCAGCATTATCTTGATAACAACTCAAAATAAAAACTGCGGTTGCAACACACCTTCCAAGCGTGGCAAATATGGCGGGTGTCGTCCGCCTATGAGGCATCCTATGTTAAGCCATGGACTTTCAATAACTTGTAATGTATGAGTGAATAAATGAAATATTTATAAGTGGTAGAGCTATGGTGCAGCTATATTACGGTTGTAGTAAGAATGGTTCAGCTTGACCGGGGAAGGATCACGCTTTCATAGAATACCAGCGTGAAACAGCAGCTTAATGTTGCTATGCATTATATAGTGAGTGTAGGTAATCTTAGTTCTCAGGTGGGACAACATCTACATTTTAGTTTTTAATTGAGGTTAAATGTAGATGACTATGTGCATTATCCATTTACCCTAAGGTGGACTGTGTGCTGGTTTGTCACTATTATTCTGTTAAAAGAAGAAGAATGAAATAAGTTTACTTCTGTAGTTTCTGTTCTGAAGTTTTGGTGGGAACTTGACTGGTGGCGGATTACTGCTCCTGTTTTATAGTTTAAATATTGGTTTAAAGTTGATTTTGATTCGTAAAAGCGTAAGATTTTTTGGATTAAGTATCTGTGCATGTCATTATTAGTGGAAATTTATATCACAAGATGGTGATATAAATTTCAGATTTTTTATCCTTTAAAATATTTTCGTCATCAAATGTCCGCTGGGTTAAGTTGTCGTCAAAAAAAGAAGAATTTTTGTGCACAAAATACAATCAGACTAGGCTGTATGGTATAGGACTTTTGCTTGGCTTAATTTGCGAATCATTGTATTTTTGCGTAGGGCGGTGGCACTGCGCGGAGTGCGCGGTGTGCAAGTCGTGCGGCGCGCGCGAGCCGGGCGGTGCGGGCGGCGCGGGCGGTGCGGGGGCTGCGGGCGCGGGAGGCGCCGGCGAGGCGCCCGCCGAGTGGCACCACCAGACGCGGCGCGGGCCCGGCGGACACAAGCTGTACTCGCACTCGCTGTGCACGCCCTGCGCCAGGTCAGTACGCAACACCCGTCCGCAACCCACGCTCGCGTAACTCGCCCTGGACGATATATCCTATTTTAAACACTGTTTCGATGCGCTAGAATTGATACTTCTTGAAATAGTATATGCTCGGAAAAAAATATGCGCATACACGAAATAATCAATTAAGTTCTTTGTCGAATGGATTTTTAAAATACCCTATATTAATCGAGATACAAAAATTTCATTTAAGGTTTTTTCATTGCCGAAAAAAAAAAATTTGATGCTCTTGTTTTTTTTAAACAATAATCATAAATATACTACGGTTTCGATAACATGAAAGACATGTTATTGAATTAGGTAATTAATCGGCTACGTTTATATTTAGATACTTTATTTTCTATTAATAAGCTCTTTCAAATAAAGCAACGTTTTGTCCAACGAATGTCGTACGTTTACTTCGTGCTCGATAAATATGCATCAATCTGAGAAGGAAGAAAATCTTCGCCTTAACGTTCTCAATGAAACGAAATTTGTCGGATTTCATCGCGTTTAATTAACTTTCTTCTATGTTTTCGACGTTTAGAATATTTGCAGCATCCATAATTATGGGGCGGTCAACATCCTAAAGTAATTGTGGTTAACGGCTACTTTAACTTAGTTTTTTAAAAGTAGCTATGGTAAACAATGAATGTTGAAACATACTCCTAAACATCGAAAATATAAAAATAAATTAATTAAATTCAATAAAATCAGTGAAAACTAGTTTCATTTAATGTATACACACTCCGAGTTCCGTATCGTTTTACCTTATGCTTCGATCTACAGAATCAAAAAAACATTACGGCGGTGTTTGCCAAATAGACTTTCTACAATTATTTTTAATGAAAAACTATAAACATTTCAATGTAAAGTCATGATTCCTGCTTACTTTTTAAAATCATTGTGAATTTTATGACGAATATTTTTAATAAATACGACTTTACATGCACTTTATATTATATAAGTATAATGAACGGGATTGTAATAGAAAACGAAACTTTTTTAATAAAATAATTTGGCATTGGGGTTATGCTGCCCACTATAACATAAGCATCGTGGTTTAATCACGTAGTCACGCTAGACAATTATCGGATTAACTCTGCGATTTTATTTTGTAATAAACATGCCAAACCACACAACGGTAAGTAATTATGTTTTTGGGGGCAACCCATGTACACTACTTGTTCCAAAGATAACATTGAATGCATTGTTAATCATAAGAATGGCCCACCCAGACAGGTACTTAATTAATCCATACAACATAGCATCCTTATCTGGTTATAGTGGATTTTTTTCTGAAATGTTACATTTATTGTTAAAACCTTTATTTCGCATTGGTTGTCACTTCTTTATTCAATTGGGCACATAACCATCGCATATATCAGACATAAAATGTCCAAGCCGTCATAAGTCACCGTAGCAAAGATGGAAGATGTCAAGTAAAGCAAATGCCACCTTTGCTTGACTGGTTAAGAGCCGAATAAGAAAACAAAAATCAGTATCCCAAATGATCCTGTTGGTGTCGTAAGAGGCGAGAGGCGGGAGTTAAACAGAAAATGGGCAGCGGCATAACTCTGGTAATAATTAAAACTGATACAAAACTGAGGTTGCCAAGTGTGCCAACTAATATGTCTTCTATTTCCACTTCTGAACAAAAGGAACGCAATTTGGAGACCAGCTCAGGACTTTATTATTCATCATCGTCATTTGTACAGCCTATCGATTTAATTTTGATAGGCGCAGCAGGTGCCTCTTACTTTACCTTAATAACAATCGTAACGAGTTCATTGCGATTGTTATCACAATCCAAATTAGGTATGATCAGTTGATCATCCCTAATTTGGATTGTGAGTCATAGTACAAACATGCAACATAGCATCTTCGATGATGTTTCTATGCACTTGAATAGGTATCTAAGGTATAGTAATTTTATGGGTTATTTAAATGTTGTTTTTGAATTTTTCGTACGTCAAAAAACCTACGTAATTTTACGCAACCTCATTTGCTCTATATTGAAAGTAATTATAATTGTGGTAAAAGAACTTAAGAGAAAAGATTTAAGTCACAGTCGCTACTTCAACTACTTCTTTTGATCTTATTGAACACAATTGATGGTGTTTGTTTAGGTCCTTAGCTATGTTTGTGTAATTACTAGAGTGAAGACTAGTTAACAACTTACCTTTTGACTGTTAAATATGAGAAAGGTTAAAAATGCTAGCTAATGTGGTTATTACATATTATAGTATTTTCCTTCATTCATTAAAATCAAATGTCAAGAGGAAATAATTTAATTGATTTAATTCGCCAGAAAATAAAAATAAAAACTTTAGAAATTACAAGTCTATGTTTACACTAGATTTGAAAAAAAAACTAATCATACACGACATCTTCCAGTTGGAAGACAATTACATTATAAATTTTCCTTATTAATAAATAAAATTTAAGAATATTAATATTTAAGCTGCTGTACGCTTGAATTTTGTACTTTATATACTGATTACCAAGAAGCTTGCTAAATAACAATAGTGTACATCATGTCTGGGGGAGAGAACATACCAGTATAACAGTGTCACTGAAACTTGTTAATATTAAAATAACTGTTATAGGTAAAGATATATAGCAGTGTTCAAATGAAAAACACGAAATATTTATTATCGTTGGCATTGTTTTCAAGTCAAGAGGAAGTGTGTGAAAACTTTGAAGTTCCTTCCATTCAGAAAGATAAGCTACAGAAAAGAAAATGAAGCGTAATGATGTAAACACAACATTGTGTTTGTTGCCATGATCCCTGGTCTTGGTAGTAAATGTTTTCACGTCATTTCATGCGTGTTTAATGTGTACTAACAGCAGCCGTGCTATTATTTTTTTGACGTTCGCCTTTACACTGTCGACATTCGCTTTTACTTCTTATCTCGTAGCATTTTGGACCCTGCGTATCGTTTCTATGACCCAGAACAGCGTTCTTTATATGCACATAATGTTGGTTGCCTAATTCTACTAAGAAATGACAATTCACTATATATAGGCTTTTATTGAACAATTCGTTAGAGGAATATGGGACCAAAGTTCTAAATGTTGTTATTTAGCAGAATTAGGCTAATATGTAATGTTGCATGCTACACACCCCTTCAAATGTAAGTTACTTATAGTTAAATTTAGAAGACTGACTGCCCTACTTATTTCTTATTGTTATTTTATTATTTTATTTGACAGTTTATGGCAGATAGTTTTCTTTGAGAAACAGTAAAGTGGTATGTTTTATAACTAAAATTAATTATTTATGATTTAATTCCACTTGTACTGTTTTTGTCTCTATTTTTACTATTGGTAAATCAATCTCATTACATTATAATAACAGCAATTGAAGCGATTTATAAATTGGTTTCTGATAATATTGTTTTATTATAAATGTACAATTTTTTTTTTCAAAATAATCACTTCAATTGCCATTATATCATCAATGGGTGTCAATCATCAGTCACCGTCGATTCTCCCACTAACTTCCTGTTTTCATTTGTGTAAAAACACTAACACGGGCATAGCGTTACATCAATTTCAGTGCATACACTAACATGAGAATTTTTATTACTTGCCTTCCGGCTCTGTACTCTTATATGTATTTGTATTTATACTATTCACACATCAAATACTGTATTATATTCTTTTGTTAAATTTTAATATATCTACCAGTAATTTATTTAGATATTAATGTTGAAGTATATATTCACTAAAATGTAGAATTTATTATACTATGTAGTCTATTTAATTTTATAAAGTATTTTATTATAAAACTGAACAATACATTTACTTTATTACACTTGCATATCTTCATCAGCCCGTAAAGTCCACTGTTGGACATGGGCCTATCCCCTTTTTAGAGAGGATTTGTGCACATAATATGATAGAAATATATTTATTTGTTAAAATAATTTTCAAACACGTAATTTCCACACGAGCCGATCGAAGAGAAGTAATAAAATTGTAAAGGTCGAACCCGAAGCAGCGGCGCGGCGTGATCACGTGTTGATACTAATGGCGTGTTTCTGTGTTCCGGTGCTTGTGCGCGTACGGTCCGTATGTGTGTGTGCGTACGTAGGGCGTATCGCATCGGTCGCTACTGCCCGCTGTGCGAGCGCTCCTTCATCGGGCCTAAGGGGACTATGCAGCTCGTCATATGTAAACTCTGCGATAGGCAACTGCATCAAGGTACGTCATCCGGCACGGTGCCAAGTAGAACGCATACTCCTTCTCTCACTACCTACCCGCTGTATCACTCGCTGCTTGTGAAATGACATTTAAGTATGCATAATAATAGTCATTGCTTTTGTTAAATGTCATTTAACAGATTTATTTTAAAATAAAAAATTAATTTTTTTCATTCCAACATTTTCCCCCTATACTTGTTTGGGTTCAAGCCATTGGGTATGTTCTATCTACCTTTTTGAAGCCATATTTCTTCATTATATTAATAGATTTTTATTAATTTATAAATATTAAAAATAAATATATAAACAAATAATAATAAGTTTTTAACACCGAAATGGAAGTTTATTTATTTACAAAAATTTAATTTAATTTTATATTTTGTCAAATGTCTCTACATACATGTACAGGAACTTTAAATTAAAAACCCCAATCCCTGAAATAAATGTAAATATTTTAAATGCTGTTTCATAAGTAGCAAAAATATTTTTATAATTGCTTTTAATAAAATATGAGGATATATGTTTATAGTCATTTTATATATATTTAGATATCCTTGTATTTGTCGCTTCGCTTTCATTTATTATGCATCCATGCGCATGATTTTATAATTCCACCGTTTCCACTATGAATGACGTTGCTATACTATGTGCTATAAACACATCAGGTGTTTATTGATTTAATAATTACATTTCTGCCATCATCTATATTCTGTCATCATTATAAAACCTACATTTACCAAAATGGTATCCACTTAAACAACTTTGAATCAATAATATAATGCTGTATATAAGAAAATTTATGGTATCCAACTTGACATTGTTAAAATGCTTTATTTTTGTGTTAGATGTGTTAGACAAACGTATGGGTGAAAGCATGATATATATACACAGTATACAATAATATAATATGCCTCGTTTATTAGACGATAGCTGAATTTATTCGGAACGCAAATAGAGAGATATTGATCAAGGAATATAATATATCCTCAAATAGTCAAATAGATTTGCCAAATTGTGTGTTTTGTATATTTGAAGACAATTGGATATGTGATTTTGAACTTGGTTTTGGGGTAAAAAAATGTTTTATACATTTACTTCATATGAGAATACAAAAATTCACTTAATTCAATCTTAATTAAGTTCAAAGAAACCCCTCTAAATATATAAGTGATAATAATTTGTGGCCTGTATAAAATATAACAACTAAGAAAAACTGCCGGCAGAACAGGATAAGATTACAAGTAAAAATATCCAAGCTAATGCAAAAAGGTACAAGTCAAGAAACTGAGCATGCTCTACTGGAACTGATATTAACATATAATAATATCCTATTCAATCTTAATCAAGTTCAAAGTCGTATATTCAGGTATTAGTATAGTAAGTTTGTAATGTATTATTGTTCTTGTGCAGATTGCGTTAGGCAGACGGTGTCAAATCTGAACGTGCTGGATTACACTTGCGGAGACTGTCGGCGTGGCGGGATCACCTCTAGAGCGGCGGCCGTTCGCCTCGCGCCGAGGACGATCGCAACGCTTTTCATGGCGAAGCGCCGTTTCAACAAATACGCTCACCGCCAATACCTGCAGAGTCGTTTGCAAGGGCGGTCTAAAGCCTCCGAGAATTCGAACGACGTGGTCGATGACGCGACAAACGACGCGACCAACGACGCGATCGAGTCGTGTGAGCGTCCCGACAGAGTGGACGACGCGTCGGACGTGTCGGAAGGCGCTGAAGAAGTCCCGGACCCGCTCGACGTCGGCGACATCCCACCCGACTCCACCGACCCGACTGTTTGAGCGCGTCAACCGTTCAGTGTTCGTTGCGTGTTTTAATGCTTATGTCTACCGAGTGGAGTGCAGAGGACAATCCGCGAGTGACGGTATAGTGACTATGTAATATATTATCTAGCTGTTATTAGTCTATATATAACTCTTATTTGCTTCGGTAATACGGTTGTAAGGTAAACTGTTGCATAAATCTGATTAATATAATGATTAACTAGTAGGTTATGTTTATGTAAGTTGTCGGATAGTGAAGAGATACTAGGTATTGTCTCTTTGTCGCTGGATTCTCTGATTTCAGTGTGACGCGACATAAATGTTAACAATTGGTTCGTTGAATACAAAGACATTGTATCCCTAGTGGGATATAGGTGGTTTAATTTAACAGGTGATAAAAATCATAAAGTGGTTAGATAACTGTAGTTCGCAGGTACTAACACATAAAATGTACAGTAATTTAATACTTACTAACTTCACTATGTGGGTAGCTGGGCAATCATACATTTCTTTATTAATTATAGTTTATTATTTGCTGCAAAAATCATGTATGCATCCCCTGTGAATTATTAATGTTTAAGGAGAATCAATATAAGAGATTGAACTGTTTCGTTAAAGAATGTATTTCGTTTAGTCGCTACAAAGTTGTCTATAGGTTATGCAAGTGATTTTTTATTGAGTATTGTTTGTCGTATGTTCTTTTTGCACATGCTTTCTCAAAAAAATTAAAATAAATTGCATATTATAATTAAAACTGTCTTTTAATGCATTTGTGATGCAATCATTTTGTTATAAAATTGGTTAATGTCATTTCAAAAATGATTGAATGAAGACAGAGTGCATTTTTTGAGAATAGAATAATTTTAGGCTATTGTTAATTTTCCTTAATAAGGTATTTATTTTAGTTATATGTTTATATGGATACAACTGTATACAAAATACCCCATTTATATTATACATATTTGACGGTTGATTACATAGGACTATTGTTGAAATTCTCCCTTTAAATCACCGATTATAAAATATACTGTGATGCCTAACTGAATTTGCTTATGAATCAACTTTATTAGTGTATTTCTTTTTTATTTACAACAATATTATATAGGTTTTCCTTTCATTTAGTTTAATTTTCAACTGAATTTCAACAACTCATTCTAGTGATGAGTAATGTTTATTATACTAAGGCGAAACGCAAATTTTTGACACAAGTCGAATTAAAATATGTTTATACTCCATATAGCACAATGTTATTGTCTTATAACTTAACTAAAACTGATAAAATAATGATAGTTAATTACTAAAACACTAAATTGTGGACTTGTAGAAAGAACACCAGCGTTTTGTCTTATTCTCGAAGTACAAAACATATAGGCTACCTTATATTTCCTAATTTTTTACTCTTCCCGGAAATTATATAGGCCCAATTGATATAGATTTATTATCATAGAGGATCAAATAAATTATTTAACTGAGAGTATATGTTTATTTTCGTTACTAAGAAATTATTTATGCAGCAATGGACATATAATAAACTTATTATGTAGACAAATTGGGCGGTATTTATTTCCAGGGTGAAACTCAAATCCCCCAAGACTACACTAAAACAAATTTGAAGTTACACAACTATTTGTTTTTCGGTGTGTACGTAGGGTTCTTTATCAACTGTATACATTTGCTGTACTTATGAATTTACTGCGCGCTATTGTCTTTTAACCACTGCTGTGTGCAATTGTCCCGATATGTTGTGTATTGTACATTGTATTAGAAGTATATAAGTGAAGGATCAGTAACATCAACTAATGCTGATTACTTGTAATGTATCATGTTTAGTTTATAATTATGCTTTCGTTATTATTAATCGTAAATAATTTACTTAGTGACAATTTCTAAGATTAAAAGTAATGTGCCGCAGGTTGAAAATTAATCAAATCATGTTATAACTTTTATATGATATACACAACCGGTTTGGGTGTGTCTTACACCATAATTAGCATTGCTTTATTATTGACACAGGTGAATTATTAAGACTTACTTGTAAGAGGAATAATGATAACTTTATGTCTACTTAATGCAAGTGTAAACGTTCTAGAAATCTCGCACTGTTCGGTCAATTTTGTAAAAAAAATAAAGTAAATTTGATTTGATTATTGTTTTTCATTATGTTGATTGGTCTTATTGGGGTTTAAATTAAACTAAATAATCCAATAAAAATAAATTATATAATTTCACTTAAATACAGTAAACTTGGTAGCATAGTTAACAAAATCTTATAAACACTGAAAATATTCAGCATACTATACGTATTTTATGAACTGGTGTAAAGCGATGACATCTTGTACCTTGAACCTGAAATCGAAATACATTATTTTTAAACTCTTAGAAAATATTTTTTGTAGAAATGGCGTAGTATGACAAATAAGTGAGCTACACAGAAAATTTTAAGACAAAACAAAATTCTATATAAGTATATGTATCTATAGTATATATTAGATTGGCGATGGAGTGAGTAGGGTGAATCAAAAACGAAATGTACCAATGTGATAGAAATGTTTCCGTGTCATAAAAGGAATGTTTTTATGTTTGAGGGCATAAAAATAAAACTACAAACAAAAAGTTTGTGATGTTTATTTTGCACCAGAAATAACTAATTTATTGGAAAAATGTCGTAAGCTCTCCTCTTAGAGGTATTTTGCAATTTTGCTTCATACTTCAATCTAAAGTAATTAAATAATTAAATGCTTATGGTTTTGATATTGCTGGCGAATCATACATATGTATGTCAAGTATGTTATTTTTTTTTGCAGGACAGCACAGCATCCGTTACCTAATTTTCGAAACATATTGTCGTTTATAATTTTTCCTTTCATATGTTTTCGGAAAACTCTTTCAGTGTAAATACCTATTTCATAAACGTGAAACGTAAGAGAACCCAAAAAATTGTTAAATAAAATAGAAAATTAAATCGTTTAAAAAAATTCTAGTAAAGCTATTAAACATTACTATTCCCTTTAACCACTTCTGGTAAGGTTAAAATGTTTGTGTTAGAAGTGGTTCACGACAGTAGTCGAATGGCGGATTCGAACCCACGACCTTTCGAGTTCGCGGTTCGCGCTCTGTCATTAGGCTTCTGACGCTTCAAAAAAATTACGAAGTTAAAAGTGGCTGCATCCAAAAATATGCCTTTGCATGTTAGAAACATATTATCGATAAGATGATACTGATAGTGTCAATATCTACAAAAATTAGATCAGAAATAGCGGGAATGCACGTATTTGTTATTATTTTTAATATTATTTTTACGCATTTAGAGCATTATCGTAATAAAATGCGATATTTTTCCCTATCCATTTGTGTGTTTCCCTATCCAATTACAGGCTTTACTACACCAAGGCTCACAAGTAAACTTAATCACTGAAAGGGCGGCGCAGCTCTTACGATTGCCTAGAAAAAGAATGAATGCAACTGTTATTGAAGTAGGAGCTGTATCTAGTGACTGCAAAGGACGCCTCAATTTGTCATGCAAATAAATCTACTCTAACTACACCTTTCAAACTCAAGCCCTCAACTTACCTAACTCTTCGTTTAAACCAACTACCTGGTCAGATTTGGAAAACTTGAAGCTTGCAGATCCAGACTTCCACATGTCGCGCCCTAGCGATCTACTGCTAGGAGCCGACGTATACTCAGACATTTTACTAGACGGAGTATTCAAAGGAAGCCAACAATCCCCGATTGCGCAACAAACACAACTGGGATGGATACTGTGCGGCAAATTAAATAATATGCATACATCGCCGACATCGAGAAAATGTACCGCTGCATAGAAATCACTCAAGATCAACAAAAACTACAAACAAATAATATGGCGTGATTCACCAATTGAAAAGCTACGAGTGTGTGAACTATGTACCGTGACTTATGGGATGAAATGTGCACCATGGCTTGCAAGGAGAACTCTCAAACAACTTCCAATCGACGATGACCACACCCAGAAGCGGCAAGATGAGTTTTACGTGGACCACTTTGGGAGCAGAAAACTTTATTCATGAAACAATCGAACTTCAACAGTTACTAATTGAACTGTTAAAACTTGGCGGCATTTACCTAAGAAAGTGGTCAGTAAATGACCCCCGTACTACTAGAAAACTTAACTGAAGATCAAATTTCGTTACACAACAACTTCGATTTCAAACATGGAGAATCAATGAAAACACTTACCCTTGGCTGGAACCCCAACACTGATTAATTTTCTTTTAACTGGGAGCTAGAGAACAAACAAACACAAAAGCAGAACTAAACGAACGCTACTTTTGGAAATAGCCAAACTTTATTACCCTCTGGGCTGGCTCTCACCTGTCACTATTGTTCCAAAAAGTATGGGCTACCAAGTTAGGATGGGACTCTATCCACCGAAATATAGAACAGAATAATTTTTTATTCAATATACATTACATGTGTAATTCTTATTGAAAGTCATTTTTTACTTTACCACACTGGTTCGAAAATAAAACCCCTCTGTCCTGGGAAGAACCAGCAAGAAACCCAGCGGGACCTTTTTTTAAAAATAAATTTTACAATTGAAATGATTAGGAACTATTTATAAAATTTATTTTAGAAACTGCTTGGAAGCGACCACCTCATTCCCAGGGGTTATTATTAATCATGTATTCATTTATACTATAATAACCCTTTTTATACAGTTTCAGTTTAATAAAACATTTAAACTTGGTAATTGAGAGAACCTGTACACTTTCCGGGACCTTGTTGTAATAGCGTATACATTGCCCCAAGAATGAATTACTGACTCTGTGGAGTCGAGAAACTGGCATCACTAGCTTGTGTTTGTTCCTAGTGTTTACAAAATGTATATCACTTTTTTTACTAAAACTATCTTTGTTTTTGTGAACATACGTTAAATTTTCGTAAATATACTGAGAGGCCAAAGTTAATATATTTATTTCTTTAAATTTATCTCTAAAAGACTCGGTTTTAGATTGTAAATAGCTCTAATGGCCCTC